CCGAGACAGGGTCTCACTATGTAGACTAGACTGGCCTCAACTCAGAGATTCATCCACCTGTCTCCCTGGTGCTGGGATCAAAAGGGTGTGCCATCACACCTGGCCTATTATGTACCTTTAAATGTCTAAGAATAGATGTCTGTAATAAGAACTTAAGTTGCCCCAGTATTGTACAGTGCCACTGAGTAAGCTGCACACACCTAACAAAGACTACAATCAGAAAAGTGCCTTCTAAATAGCAGCACTCTGGCTTAGAAACTTTTCCATCTCTATCAGCCAGGACTCAGGCTTATGCAACTGTACTGCTTTGAGTGGATACTAACAATTTTACTCCATAAGTGGTTTTCTACAAATTTTAACACAAAGGGTGTCCACCATGTTTGTTCACTAACTCTACTTTTGTCATACACTGGCAACTTCTTTAATGTCTAGTAACACTAGATGTTGCATATTTGGACTTCTCTGTCCTTTATATACACTGTACATTGCAAAATTAAACACAGCTATAGGGGACAATGGTCAATTTTGCATTACCAAAACCTTGAGTTAGTGTTACACCCTTTACATATATTTTTTGTTCCTTCCTCCCTTCCCAAACCAGCAAACATGTGCTTCTTGGAAGTGGTTCTATCATTTCATTTTTAAAAGACAGTACTTCACTATTAATATTAACAAAAGACTATCTACAGTGTATTATTCACTATATCTACTTTTAACATACTTTGTGCACTTCTAAACATCTAGAAAGACTAGATAGTTCCAAAAAGAGTATTCAGCATTGTTAAACACATACATACATACATAGATGTATATACACATACTGTAATGAATAGGACGCATACACAACCCAATAGTTATTACACAAAAGTCTTCTCCACGTGACCAGGCTGGCACTGGACCTCCTCTTCCTTCTTCGACTCCATCTTCTAACTTACTGAACACAGACATGTGACGCTCCTGGGATCTTTCTAAAGGAGGCCTAACAACTCCATTTCAAAGTCACTTCCAGGAGACATGTCTATGACTTTTCTGTGAAGCAAAACTGGGCACACACATGTCATTTCCTATCTATACTCCATTCGTCCGCAATCTCTACATCTAGATGTCTAGATGTCCAGATGTCGCCAAAAGTTTTCAAAGGTTGGGGGAATGGTTGAGAGCAGCTTTTTCATATTATATACACAGGCCTTCGACCTTGGGGAGCGTTTCAGGCTGGCCGAACTGGCTAAGTCGCATCCAGCTTCTCCCAGGCAGAGGGAGGATGCCCGACCGCCCGTCCCTCCCGCCGCCACGTGGGGCTCCGCCATGCTGGGCTCCGCTCACCTTCCAGAACCGTTAAGGCCTTTGTTCCAGGGTCCTGACAAAGCGCTGGCTGAGGCTGTCCCCAGGGCCATCCCTGCCCAGCGATGGCCACGCCTGGCTGCAGACCCGCCTTCTCTGGGTCCAGAGGCCCCTTTGGGTGGATCGCCAGGTCATGTCCACCGTCAGGTCGTGTCCACCGTCATTCTGGGTTGCCAAGTCCTCGCAGGCCTGGCCAGGGGAACAGGAAGCGGGGTGGGGGAGTGTTGAGGCTGTGCTGGGCGGCGGCTGCCATCGGTGTCTTGGTTGGCTGGGACCGGCGCTGCGGTTTCGCAGCCTGCCTGGTCCTGGTGGCTGCAGCCGGCCCCCAGCGTCCTCAGGGCAGAGGCCCCAGCTGTTCCCGGGCCCCCCTGGCTCACCCTGGCTCAGGCCGGAGGCCGTGGGGGGCCCAGGGGAAACAAGCCGGTCTCCCTTCCTCATCGCTCTCTCTGCCAGAACTCCCTAACTTTTTTTTAATCTACCTGGAATCTACATGTTTGTAGAGGACACATACCATCTAGATGGCACTATCCAGCCTGTTGATTATCCAGGCACCTTTGTGTTCTTACTACAAGACTCATTTTGGTAGGCAAAATGTTTGCTCCAAGAGGGACTGATAAACTGGTTCCCCAAGAGACGACATACAGAGTAATAGTTGCGCTGCTCAGTATCCTGAAAAAAAAGCTGAATAGAGAATAGTAGTTAACTCATGTTGAAAATAAAAAGATAGTGGTGCTACCACTAAGAAAGGATGCAAAGATGATGGCGATCATGAAATGGGACCTAAAGAACAGTAAATGGTGAGGCTGACTAGCTGGGACAGCTAGAGTTCTCTTTAGGGGTGTCTTGGCCCAGCGAGCATGGGAAGAGTCAGTTACTTTCCTCAACTCTTCAACTTCGGTGGGACTTACAGCCCTATGCGTATTGTTTCTTCTTATATATCTACTTAAACTGAATTCATAGTAAGTGGACTTTCAAAATAAGCACGTGCCTTTCCTCTCTGTACTCAAGCTCAGGGTGGCACAGGGAAGGGATACCTGGGACAGGCAAGATCTAAGCGTGTCCTGTTAGGCCATGTCATTTATCTGGAATGTGTTCATGCTTCTTTGTTGCTACCATTAATTTTCTGATTAACTTAACTACATTGGTGTCTTTATGAACTTGCCTATTTTAGAAACATAAGGATCTGAAGTGCTGCCAGGTGGTGAGGAGAGGACCCTGGGCCTCCCTGTGACACTTGTGCACTCTGTCTCACAGGCTCCCACCTTGTCTGGAGCTCTCGAGCAAAGCGGTTTCTTCTTATATATCTACTTAAACTGAATTCATGATAAATGGACTTTCAAAATAAGCATGTGCCTTTCCTCTCTGTACTCAAGCTCAGGGTAGCACAGGGAAGGGATACCTGGGACAGGCAAGATCTAAGCATGTCCTGTTAGGTCATGTCATTTATCCAGAATGTGTTCATGCTTCTTTGTTGCTATCATTAATTTTCTGATTTACTTAACTACATTGGTATCTTTATGAACTTGCCTATTTTAGAAACATAAGGATCCGAAGTCCTGCCAGGTGGTGAGGAGAGGACCCTGGGCCTCCCTGTGACACTTGTGCACTCTGTCTCACAGGCTCTCCAGCAAAGCGAGGTAAACCAGAATCTCTCTCAATTTGTTGTGATTCTGAATATAGGCAAACAGAGGGGAAGAGAGGGAAGGAAGGGAAGGCTGGACTGATCTGAGCATTCTGTCAGGGCAGTGACTTGGGAAATAATGTTTCAGTGACTATGTTGCTGTCTAGTTATTAGCAACACAAACACTGTTTGATAAGGGCAGAGTTTACACCTCTGGAGCATGCTGGTGGTAGAATGCTCTAGGGAGAATTTCTTCCAAGGGCAGCTTGGGAGCAGCGTCAGACACTGTTCTCTGCATGTTGTAGGGACATGACAGTAATCAGGGCTGGGAAAGCAGTTTCTCACTTATCAACTGTGTTTAGGAGCCTAGTCTCCAGTTCAAGACTCCCAGAAAACCTAGTTTTCTTTACCCATGAGTGAGAGATGCAAAGCACAAGCTATGTATCTTACGCATCTTTGCCAGAAAAGAATTCTGGGAATTTTGGCAAACTTGCCATTGGAGCCCAGTTGTAAGTCTTGAGCCTTTCTAGACTGCACAGCCCTTGGTGCTCTTGCCCTCTCCAGAGAACTCTTAAATCTGAGTCTGGGAAAGGAGAGCATGGATGACCTTCTCGCCAGCCAAAAGGCTCATGGTCTACCCAGGAGGCAGGAGCAGTGTCAGTGCAGGTGGACAAAGTGACAGCAGAGATGTCAGCCTTTACTCCTTTTTATGAACTGTCTCATGTTATGCGCTGTCAGGATTCAGGGGATCAGAGAACTTCTTGACCGTAACAGCTAAACTTGTGGGAATATTTTCTGGCCAACCCTTTCCCAAGATTAATTTTTGTTTGTTTGTTTGTTTTGAGATGGTCTCCCTGGAGCCCCAGGTGGCTTAGAACTCCCTATGTAGACCAGGTTGCCGTTGATCTCACAGAGAGCCACCTGCCTCTGCCTCCAGAGTCTTGGGGTTAAAGGAATCTGATACCATACCTGGCTATGCAGGATGACTTTTGTGCTCTCCTTACACAAAGTTTTGGACTCTGTTTTTCACTGCCATGACTTAGAGTCATAAACAGAAATGTGAAAAGGAAGGAGGAGGCCTGGAGGGAAGTCTGTAGGGAGGGCCATGTGTTCAGTCTTCATTACTCTCTGGGAAGATCTAGCAGTGCCTTGAATGTTAAATGCAGTTGGCAGGGCCCTAGAGAACCCAGGCCTGTGCTGTGAGGTGGACAGGGGTCCGGAGACCAGACCTGAGTAATAACAGTAAAGCTCTGGAAGGCACTGATCTACCTTCCTATGCTGCACTTACAGCAAGAAACCAGACCCAAAGCAGGGAAAGGATTCATCCCAAATGACACAGAACCACACATGGACGTGAATCCAGGTCTCCTAAATTCCAGTCCTGGGGCTAATCTCTTACCAGACTGATTCTGAATCCCAACATCCTAATTTAGTTCCTATGAATGTGAACCCCAAAGTAACAGACAATGCTGGAGATGTCAAGTGGGACAGTGTTCTTCCCAGGGGCACCAGGAGGATCTGCTCAGCAATTCCATCTTGTTGCAGGATTCTGAGTTTCAGAAGGGGCATCCAGGCAAGGTGGTGTGTCTTATATACCAAATTTCAGGCTGTGCTTTGTCCAGCTTCACATCTTCCCATCCAACCCATGAATCAGGACACTAGAAAGCAATGCTTCCACAGAGAGCATGTGAGCCAGATGATAACAGGTCCCTAAGGATCTCCAACCTCCTCTGCACCCCACACTCACACTTGAGGCCCTCTTTCTCCCTGAGAACCTTAGTCATCTCTGATGGGTATTAGTCTGAGTTTCTGATAGTGTTTTTCTATATGGTTCCAGAAAACCAATGACCAAAGCACTGAGATAGTCTGCTGAATGCTGGTCCTTGCTCAAGGCCTGACTTATTAAACTTTATGCACCCAAGGCTCAGGGATTGTAATAGCCAGGGAGGAGATGCATGACCATGTGGAAACAAAGTCCTGCAAGCTCCTGGAAACTACCTCATAAGCTTCTCTGACAATGGTGTCAGCATACACAAGTCCCCTGCAAAAATGGGAGTCTTTGGCTCAATAAAAGGATATGGTTCCCTCAATGATATCAATCTATAAATGTGTCCGTCTGTTTAACATGCCTTCTCCAGTGGTTTTTAAGAGTTGAAGACACCATGTGTGGTGGCTCACATGTGTAATTCCAGTACTTAGGATTCCTGGATGAGGTAGGATTGCCATAACTTAGAAGCCAGCCTGGTCTACATAGTAAGTTCCAGCCTAGGGAAGAACCATTGGGTACAACTTGCCTTTGAAATTTCTGGGGGATTTTCTGTTACTGCAAGGCTGGAGGCTTCTGAAATCCTGTCTTCAGCTGTGGACCTGAGCATCATCTGATAACAACCGTAAAAATGACTTCTTTATTTTTCTTTATTGCTTTGGGAAGCAATGTCTGAACAATGAATGTAAAATAAGTTCTAATTTTGTACATAACTGTTACATATATTTTATGAGATGTATAAGTAACTGAATGTTTCGTTTTGATTGTACTACTGAAAATGATAATGTGTTTTATTTTCAAATTTTATTAAATCAAATTGTAATAAGTGTTTTTCAACTTTTTGAGTGGTACCAGGGACTGAATCTAGGGCTTCATGCATGCTCAGTTATCCCTGGGCTACACACCTGTTCTCACTTTACTCTGATTTTGAGACAAAGTCTCACTGTTTACAACCTGACATTAAACCTGCTCTGTAGCCCACCTACAAGCATCTGCTCTGTTGTCCACCTAACAAGCATCATGTTGGAGTCCATGAGGATCTTCCAGTCCCAGGTAGCACTTACATGAGGAAGCAGGAGAAAGTTTCCACATCAGGAGTCTTGAGGCAGGTGCCTGCGTACTAAGGTCTTGACATGCTGCCAGTGCCGGAATTTCCCTTAGACGCTGTCCAGTTTGGACAAATAGTTTTCTGTGGGGTTAGCCTGGAGATTGGCTGGACCACCCTCACCATATAACCCCTGAGGAGGTGGTGCTGCGTTCACTGGGGGCTCAATAGGGACCAGGTGGACAACTGGAAATGGGACTGGTGGGTGAGGGCCCTGAGCAGGGCATCCTATACCCCTAGCAAAGATTCCTGTAACATTACAATTAAGGGTGTCTGAGTGAGGACAGTGTTGGCATTGTGTACAGGCTGGGGTGGTCTCCCTGGTGTCCCAGATTGGACAATATTCAAAGACACAATTGTATTCAAGCCATAGCCCCCATCTCCTGCCATCAAAGACATCCCAGGCAGAACAGATAGTACTAGGGGATTCCTGGTGGTGATTCCCACAGTCATGAGGGGTGTTGCGAGCTCCCAGAATTACTGGGGTGCTGGTTGCAGGTCAGATGGAAGAACAGACAGGGTTCCAAATGTAGGCTTGGAGGCACCAGGGTTGATGTTTATGTTCAGACCCAGCACTGAACAGGCTGTGGTATAAAGGAGAGGGTGGATAGAAGAGAGGGGAGGGATGCTCTCTGGCTCTAGTACTCAGTGGGAATCAAGGTAGGAATCTCAAGGCCAGGGGGAAGAAGAGGTTGTACTGAGGTAGATGCTCCATCCTTATTTTGGTCCTGGTATGTGGGGGTCAGAATGACTCCTGTAATGGACAGATGGTATGGACAGCATAACTTGCACAGTATGTTGTCTGTATGATGGTCAGTCACAGGACTGTGTTGTTTCTTTGACACAAATTCAGATGAGCTGAGTCCTCTTCCTTCTCAATCCCTCTAAAAATCATTTGGACAGTCAGAGGTGCTGCTGACTCCTCAGTGGGACAGCTACTGGACAGGGACAAGTTTCCCAGAGTGTTGCTGTCAGAAGCCTGCAGAAACTTTTTTTTCACTACCAACTTCCCCCTTCCTGACAGGTTGGTATTGTTTGGTTTCCAGCAGTCACATCTGTTACTAGTTGTGAACTAACATGTCTCCATAGAAAATAGAAGTATTGGGGGTTAGATAGGAAATCTAAGGACTGAAAACAGGTTTTTCATTATAAAAACCATAGTTGGGGGACTGGAGAGATTGCTCAGCACTTAAGAACACTGGTTGTTCTTGCAGAAGACCCAGGTTTGAGTCCCAGCACCCACATGGCAGCTAACAACTGTCTGTAACTCCAGTCCCAGGGGATCCAACAGCGTCTTCTGACCTCCGTGGGCATTGCATGACATGGGTGCGCTTACCTACATGCAGGCAATACACACGTACACATCAAATAAAAATAACAGTTAAAACATTTGGGGCTGGAGAGATGGCTCAGTGATTAACTGCACTGGATATTCTTACAGAAGTCCTAGTTTCACATCCCAGCACCCATATGGCAGTTAACAACTGTTCGTAACTCCAGTTCCAGGGCATATAACACCCTCCTCTGTCCTCCATGGGCACTGCATAACATGGTGCTCTAACATACATGCAGGCATAACACTTATACACATAAAAAATAAAAAGTAAAATAATACTTGAAGTTGTTCAGGAAAAAGTGATGGGGAGATATGGGAGGAGTTGGAGGGGAGGTAGACTTGGAGGGGAGGTGGGAGGTAGTTGGAGGGGAGGTGGATTTGGTCAAAACACCTTATATGCATGTGTGAAATGCTCAGTAAATTTTTTTAAAAGTTAAAAAAGCCCACATGTGCATGAAATGCAACCTATAGATTCACACATGCCTGATAAGTATTCGACATGCATTTCACATCCCTTTGCTCTCTTCAAATACATGTAACTCCCTAAAAACACAGAATATTTACACAAACTATCAAAGAACCCTCACGTTTGTATTTAAACTCCACCCCCATCACAAGCATAAATAGCTTTTAAACCTCTCTCAGTTTCACTGTAATCCCAAGCATGAGGCACAGAGGAACCCCATGTAGTGAGAGCTGAATTAAGAGTCCTTTCATTAGTAATAGGTGACAGTCAACAGGGGCTATCACCAGAAAGAATTCTGGACCCTGAGTAGAGGCAGAGCAAGGATTATAAAGCTTAAAAACCACAATTACATCATGCCAGGGGCAATACCGATAACCGCAGTTATATCAGATCATCATAGTTAAACCAGACCAGGGCAGGTCAATTAAAAAAGGGAAGATAGGGAAAGTGGGAAGTGTTCGGCAGGGAGGAGAGGAGGGAGGGATGTGCAGAGGGTCAAGGGGGGGGAGTCAGGAGAGGTGGGGATGGTGGGAGGTCAGTGTTATGGAGGGAAGGGGAGAGATAATGGCACTGGGACTTGGGAGGGAGGAGGGAGGCTGGATGGGAGGAGTAATAATAGAGATGAATGAATCTTGGGAGACTAGGAAACCCAGAGGGAAATGTGATGCACCTGAAACCCCATGAGAAATGCCCATACAGTGTCTAAGTGTTAGTGCACAGGGAGAAAAACAGTCAATGGCCCAACACAGCCCTAAATCCTAATACCCATAACGACCAGCATGGCAAACTACCTCTATCGGTGCAATAGTGGCACTCTTGTCTTGGGGGGTAAACAATAGCTATCTAATTGGACTTAAAGCCCTCTCAATGGGAGTGAACTCATGAATGGTACTGCAAACTCAGCCAAATACACATGGCAGGAGAGGGCATCAATCCTAGAAGAAACTCATATCTCAAGATATGTGTAATTCCTTACCATATGCTAAACATAAATTTTTATACTACAGACAAGCATACCGTACACCACTCATCAAAGAAGCTTCTTTTTGCAAAAGATAGAAGCTACTGCAGAGTTCCACAACTGGTCAGACATAGGAATATATGTCTGAGAGATTCCAAGTACTAGGTGACACATCTACAGTTGAACCTCTACACCTAAGGCTCATGGAACATAGCAGAACAAGGGAAGGGTAGAGAGAAAAATAATGCATTCCTCACCTCTCACCAGTGAAGCTTCCTTATACAACAGAGTGTAATATACACAGAAGGCCACAACTGGCCAAGTTTTAAAGAACAGGAGACTGTGTAT